GTCTTTTTCAAGAGTCACTCCTAATTTCGAAACTATTGGTCCGAGGACTTTAGATAATATGTGTCCAGCTAAGTCGCTCTGACAACAGGACCAAGTTGTGAAAACGATGTCAGACCACTTGCTTATTGAAGATTTAATGATGATGTAGAAAAACTACTTTCTCTGCATATAGTTGGTTGCAGTGGGAAAATGTAAGTGTGCTTCATCGATTATCCCTGAACTTCTTTGTTTGCTGTACTATCACTAATTATACTAATATTAAAAACAATAATAAAAAATATTGCTTTATTATGAGTAGCATTACCAGTACTCATTAAATATAAAAGAGATTAACTAAAATAGTGAATTGTGAAAGGACACTATTTGTTTAGTCTATCAAGTAGCAACACCTTTAGTATTATTATTATTATTATTATTACTATAGTAGTGGGCAATAATCATGATGTTGGCTAACTTTTACAAAATACTGCCACTCTGACTTGAGACAGTCAAGCTGGAGTATTGGCAAAAGCGTTTCTTGCATATTCTAGACCTGCTGTCGAGAAGAATGAACAAACGCCAATTTCTCTTTTAGTCAGCCCAACACTTGATACTTATCGCCTGATTAGTCCTAAAAACTAGGCCTCGCGCTCGACTCCGTTTCAGCCCGCCAACACGCACCAGCTCTGCTTATTGTTGCATCATTCTTCCACTTCAGCCTACCCTCACGGCCCGATTAGCTGGCCCATCATAAGCTGTAGACGCCTGTGTGGCGTCAATTTGTGTGAAGGTGACCTGTGCCAAATAGTGTTAGCTATCTGGCCGGGATGTCAGGCTGTGGAGTTTCACGTTGCCTGGTCGTCTCTGTCTGGCAATCGAGCCGGCAACGTGTTCATTCATCCATTCATTTGGGATTAATGCAATTTTAAGAGCCTGCTCTGATATGGCTTAAAGTTCACAAACAATTTGCTTTTGTATAACTTTCCACCGGATTGACTGAACAACCAACTGCCTCGAGAGGCAGCAGTCGAGACTGGCCTGTCCCTGCGCCCGTCTGCGTGTGTATCCATGCCTGTGTAGGCATGCATGTGTGTGTGTCAGTAGTAGCAGTGGTAGTGTAAGCAGCAGCATCAGCAGCAGCAGCAGTAGCAGCATCAGCATCAGCATGATTCCAGTGTTGAGATGGTGGGATTAAAAAGGAGGATTTAGGCGGGTGGAAGACGGCATCATCTCACTGTCCTTTAGTCTTGCGGTTGAAGAGCGCGTCCAGATGGGCTGATTAACTAAACCAGTGTCTTGACTTTAAGAGGGCTCAAGAAGGATCGCTTTTTCCTCTTGAATGGGCCTTGAATGTATGTGCTTGTAGATGAGATTGTATTCACATTGCATTACTACCTCATGACATTCGTCGGTCCTCATGTAGTCGGTGCTCGCCGGTCAAAGTAACCCTATAAATAGACCCTCTCGAATCAGACAAACCTGCTTCTGATGCTGGTCTGAAGTTCCACGGTATCCGCTAAGCTCAGATGACACGGACTGGAAAATGGGGATGTAGACGGATCGAGAACGCGGGAGAGAAGGAGACAAAGGGTCCCGTGTTCTGGCGCCAGGGCACAAAAGCAGCTGCAGAAACCTTCACTTCTCTCACTTGGCCAAGTATGTACGTGCAGTTGTGTATGTATGCCATTGTCTTTGTATGTGTGTTCGTGTGAATTGTCGACGTGTGGATGTGCGCCCAGTCCAGGCGGTCTGTCCGTGAGGCTAAAGTCGACTCAGGTCAACTGTCCTCATCCGGATGAGATAACCCCTTTGGCATCTTCAGCCAGAGGTGAAGCATGCAAGCCAATCTCTTCACCCTTCACCTCTTTACTCTTTCTATCATTCCATCCATGTTTTCTCTCTGGTCGACCCAAATCTACCAACACACACACACACACATACACACACACTTATATATATATATATATATATTTATTTATATTTACAAACTTACACACTCCGATACATACCTCTAAGGATGGACCAGAAACGCGTATATGCACACACCTGAGGACACACCTTTTCCAAGCTCTTGATCTATCTTTCTCAATGGGAAAATCAGGCTGCTCTGTTGTTTACCTGAAAGACGTCAGTCATTTGTCTGTTCCCTTTGATGTCCATCACTCCTCTGCCTCTGGTGTAAAGGGACATGCCAGCCAGTCGTCGGTCTTTAACCCAGTCGTTGCTCCAAAGACCGGCTGTGTCGTAGAGTCTGCCTTAATTGCCTGCTCGGGACACCAGTCGGCTGGACGGACACCGCGACGACTACCAACCGGGCCGATGAAGGGGACAGTTTTGATGGCCCTCGGCTGCGATCAGATGCCTAGGCTGGCCTCGGAGTCGGTAGGGATCAAGCCATCGGGTCTATTCACGAACTAGTACCGTCGCCGGGGTGAAAGAAGTTTAGAGGAGAGGCGTTTTGCCGACGAGCCATCTGCAGGCATAAGAGTCTCGAAGACCTACTTTTAAACGAAAAATAAGTAATGTAGTCGTTTGAAGATGTGAAGTCCAC